ATCCTCCAACCCAATGTGACTCCCCCCTCTCTCTTTTTACCCTAAATTCGAAGAACCTTCTTCCTTCTCTCTTCTTCTTCTTCTTCTTCTTCTTCACGTGAAGAAATTTCCATCGATCCCCCCGAATAGTGTTCCCACGGTGGAAACAGAAACTTTTTCCCTCCGTTTTAATAAAATCTACCTACAGTTCGCCAACGGAAGAATCTTCCCTGGAAAATCCTTGGCCCAGCAGCCCCCTCGATATCCACGACAGATTTTTTTTAGTTGAATTTTCGACAGAGTTCCGTTGTTTGTTTCTCTTTCTTCCGTTTCGTTTTCGCCGTTCTTGAACGTTTGAAATTCGCAAGAAGATGCCGTCCATTATGCTTTCAGGAATGCTCGCACCTACTCCAGCGTGAAAAATGGGGGGGGTGTAGTAGAGGTTCGAACGTTCGCCTGAGCTTTTCCCCGGGCTCTCCGTTAGCCGTTCTCGATCGAAACACGAGAATGGAATTTCTTATTTTTTTTTTTCTCTCCTTTTTTCCTGGTTCCTTTCGCGTCACCCGTGTGTTGTTGCGGGCCGCGTGCACGCCCTTTGCGGTCTACGATGAAAATTGCGAATCGTCCGCGCCACACCTATGGCGGACGCTAATGCGTCAGGTGGCGAGCCTTAATTCTTGATCGTTCTTTCGTCCGAAAATCGCGAACGATTCTCTCGAAACTTTCTTCGCACCTGTCGCGCGGCAACTTGTTCTCCATTTCCGTTCAATCTTCTCTACTTGTGTACCTAATGTGTTTTGCCACTTCGAGGAACATTGTAGAACGAATAAGATTGGGACGTCCCTTTTGGGCGAAGCACGATCAGGGATTCTCGTACGGGGGAATAGTGTCGATTGTTTGCGGAACCAACGATCCTTTCGCGCCTCGCGTGCAATCAGTTCCTTTCAAGGAAATACCAATTCATTTTCTGGCAACGGAGACGAACTCTCAGTGAACAGAAAAAAAAGGAAGAAATCAGTCTGCTAAGAGAAAAGCGATCGAGAAATTGATTTTTACTTCTTTTTTCGTTTTTAGAAACCCACAGGTAGATTCTCGATCGAAACGAATTTCTTGCCCCACGCCCGCGTCCCTTTAACCCTGAAAACTCGGCTCTTCGGCCGCAAGGTTGCACAGAGCAGAATGAAACGTGGTATTTTCATCGAACACTCGAGAGTTTTCTTTGTTAAAAAGAAGAAACGTTTGATTACCAGTATCCTGCGTGCAGGAGGTTAGAATTATAACGAGTACGTTGATCTTCTCGATTGTGATAACGATTTTTCCACTGAGAAGTGACGAAAAGACTGCTTTTACCACTTTCTTCTCTTACTTTATAGTCGAATTATTGCTAATTCTAGTAGATTAACGAAAATAATATCTCTATTATATTATCAGCGAGTTACTTCTTCTTTCACCCAGTGATTCAGGGTTAAAGCGACCAAAAGTAAAGAATCGTTTCCACGAAAAAAGTCACTCGTCGCGTGAACCGTGAATTTCCGAAGGGAGAGAGAGAGAGAGAGAAAGTGGGTGCGAGTGGAGACGAAAAGGTGCGTCTGTGAGCGAATGAACGATGATAGAAGCAAGAAAAAAAGGAGAGAGAAGAAGTAAACGTTAGTGTAAATGAAGAGGGAAGAATGGTGAGAAATAAGAAAAAAAAAAAAAAAAAGGATCGAGAGAGACTCTCTCACATAGGCAACGTAAGGAAAACAATATATTGATTATATTGCGTGGTACGAACAGAACTGTGATATTTTATTGTATAAATTTACGGAGAACAAAGAGATGAACAAAAGAAAAAAAAAAAAAGAAAAAAAGAAAAAAAGAGAGGAGACGACTACGACGACGACGACGATGAAGAAATACGAAGGATAAATCTCTTAAACGGATATACATTACGGTAGTAGAGAGAAAGAAAGAAAGAGAGAGAGAGGCGCGCCGGATATTACTGTATTTTACAAAGAAGTGCATCCTTAAGCCATTTAAGCGAAGAAGAAAAACGAAGCGAAGAGAGTGAGAGAGAGAGAGAGAGAGGGGGGAAACTTTTTCGAGAGTAATAGAAATTGAAAAGCAAACGCAATCTCGTACGTGTGAACGCGTGTCGCCGGGTATCCCTTTCCTCGAACAATTGAGTCGCTTCCGTTTTTGTTTTTCTTCTCCATGTAAAAACCGTTCGATTCTGTCACTCACTCGGAAGCTTTTCACGAGGACAAAGGAGAAGCTTTTTCAAAAAAAAAAAAAATTAATCACAACGATACCACCGAAAGCTTCTCGCGAGAAAAAGAAAATATGTGAAAAATGTCCTCTGTCCGGTCCATTTCTCAATTTTCGAATAGGAATACCCGGCGATTTTTCTGTTTTTCTTTTCTTTTCTTTTTTTCTTCTTTCGTTTCCTTT